AGAAAACATCGCAAAGAGAAAACATCGCAGTTCTAAAACATCGTGCTACAAAACATCGTCGTCGAAAATAAAGCGGTTCAAAAACTTCGCAGTTTAAAAACATCGTCGTCGAAAATATCGTGGTAAAAAATAAAGTATCTACAAATCATCGCATGACGATAACTTCGCAGACATGCTTTTTTCAGGTTTTAATTATTGTAAATGAATATTCCCATAATGATTTGTGAGTTCAGTATGTAAAGAAGGATAATTTTTATTTTCACATATTTTATTAACTAATAAATGTTTGCTGAAAAAGTAAGAAGGAAACTTAAGCATAAAAAATTAAATGCAAATTATAGATTATACTTTTCATGAAAAATTACCAGGAGAAACTTTATAAAAATGATTTATTAATGGCCTTTGTTAGTTAACTATGTCGGTTTAAAATTCTATTAAGTGCTATAAGTTGCGTTAATTTTCTATGCTTAAGTTTCATTCTTATTTTCTCAGCAAAAATTTATTAGTTAATAAAAAGTATGAAAGTAAAAATTATCCCTTTTTACATCTTGCGTTCAAAAATCATTATGGGAATATTCATTTACAGTTATTATAGCCTGCAAAAAAGCATGTCTGCGATGTTATCGTCATGCGATGATTTGTAGATACTTTATTTTTTACCACGATATTTTCGACGACGATGTTTTTAAACTGCGAAGTTTTTGAACCGCTTTATTTTCGACGACGATGTGTTGTACCACGATGTTTTAGAACTGCGATGTTTTCTCCCACGATGTTTTGTAGCACGACGTTTTTGCCTTGCGTTGTTTTCTCCGCGACGTTTTCGTCCGCGATGTTTTCGGCTGTAACCATACATTATATAGGGTGCGGCAGCGTTCATAATAGGATATTAAAAGCACACCATAAGGCAGTGGCTGTAATTTATTTATTTACCTCTTATGTCAATTAATAGTTAAAGGTATGCTATTTACTAATGTGTAAGTTATTGTTCATTGCGTGGATTACTTTTTGAATATGATGCCCCCTCTGCACAACACATTCATTTAGGCGGCGTTGGAAGCTTGCCTAACTCGGCGTAACGTATTCCCTGGGACACTGCCGACGGCAGTTCGGATGCTATCCTTCAACTCAGGAATGGTGGCACAACGTGTTCGGAAAACTTCTTGCTTCGGGTGCCCCCTAAGTCGGCACATGAAAGATCAGGTGAGCGAGGCGGCTAGGAAATGTCACCAAAACGGAAAATTACTCTACCTGGAAATAGTAAGTCCATCTTGAACTTTCCCATAACGTCCCAAGTTGAAATGTTGCCGAAATAGACGCTGGGTAGCAATAACAGAATAGTTATTTTTGGAATAACTTTTAACAGCAAAGGCACGATGCTGTGCTTCCGAACGATCCATATCACTGTCACATTCGAAATGGCAGCTCATTAGTACATGAATGCGGCACGAGCTGGCGCGCATTCATGCAGTACGTCATTGTGCTACGCACGTCAAATTACGCTATGAACGCTGCCGCGCCCTATATTATATGCGTAACTATCGCTGATTGTAACAGCCACACATAGTTAAGCGATTTCAATTAGGACTCCATCTACTACCATCTACTACCTGGAAACAAATAGACAACAACGCATTACTAACCTTTCCTTTAGGCTACAGCTAACGGTAGTGTTATTTTAAGGAAATAAGGGTTTACTACAGCAAGTTTACCTCTTTGTGTAGATAAGTCCATTTGGAATTACAACGCTGCTCAAATAACATTAAAAAGACTAAATTTAAAAATTCCGAAAGAGAACTACTCAATTTTAATCAGCTAAAATGTATTTTAGTGTAAAAGAGTTTCAAATATTCTTAGAGCTAATTATTTTTTCAATTCAAGTTGAGCTACATTATTTCCATAAAAGTCATAGTTTAATGAAGAGCTTTTCTAGGGTCAAGAAACTCACATTAAATTTTTTTCACAATTTCAATGCATAAAATTCTTGTAATCTAGCAGTCATATAAATGAGTTAAGAGTGACACAATAGGAATATCATGTTAATTGAGTCATTTTATAATTTCATTAGAAAACACATAGTGTAAATGGCAAATAACTACCGAAAGGTAATTAAATCCTGAATATTACACTCTTAGACAAAAAATAAATAAATAAATAAAAATAACGACGCGCCGAGAAGACATAAAGCAAATTGGACACAAATTGATATGCATACAGGTTTCGACGGAAAATGCAAAATTTTACATTTTGGCTGCCAATGAATGAACGGTTGTCGCTACAGCGTATCTGATCTGAGCAACTGGCAGGATATTTAAGAGAAGAAATTAAAATTCCAGGTTATGAATTCTTCACGAATTTCATTCCGTGTAGACAGTAACTATGCCTCGCGTACAGGTGCGCGAACGATATGCGCAAATATCAGAATTTGAGAGAGGTCGTGTAGTTGGGCTTGAAGAAGCCAGTTGATCTTATCGGCGAATAGCTCGACATTTGAGCAGGAGCGATGCCACTATTAGACGATGTTGGCAGGAATCGGTGAACCATGGGCCGCACACAGCGTCAAGAAGGACGCGGTAGGGCTAGAGAAACGACAGAACGTGAAGACCGAGCAATCGTCAGAGCGGCACTCACAGCCCCAAATGCATCATTATCATCGATTGTACGTGCAACTAGTGCTTCAGTGCCCGCAAAGACCATTCATAGACGGCTCACAGAAAGCGGGGCTGAGGTCACGCCGCCCCTAGCGCCGACTACCACTGACCTTTGTATAACGTCAATCCCGTTTGCTTTGGTATCGGGCTCATTCGCATTGGAATGTCCCTGACTGGAGTAGAATAGTCTTCAGTGATGAGTCCCGCTTTGAACTGAACCCCGACCAGCGATGGCGAGTCTGGAGACGCCCCTGAAAGCGGTATGATACCAACCTGACTGTCTTCTGGCAGACAAGCCGACAACCAGGAGTGATGGTCTGGAGTGCCATTTCATTTCATAGTAGGACGGACCCCTTTGGTTGTCATCCATCGCAACCTTACAGCACAGCGGTACGTCGACGAAGTTCTAAGGCCCGTTGTGTTGCCCTTCATGTCACGCCACCCTCGGCTTACATTTCAGCAAGATAATGCCCGCCCCTACACTGCACATGTTTCTACTGCTTGCCTTAGGGCTTGCCGAACATTACCTTGACCAGCAAGGTCGTCGGATCTCTCTCCTATTGAGCACGTTTGGAGCATTATGGGCAGGGCCCTCTAACCAGCTCGGGATGTTGACGATCTAACGCGCCAGTTGGACAGAATTTGGCACGATATCCCTCAAGAGGACATCCGCAATCTCTATCAATCGATGCCAAGTCGAATAACTGCTTGCATAAGGGCCAGAGGTGGACAAATGCGTTACTGACTTTTTACTTTGTGAAGCTCTATCACTTCAATAAATCATCCAATTTTTCTCAAACTGTAATCATTTGTTTTTCTGTACATATACAACACTTCTACCGATTTTTGTCCCATTCGGATAACTCCTTTCTTGATGAGTCTCTTTTTTTTTTTTTTTTTTTTTTTTTTTTTTTTTTTTGTCTAAGAGTGTATTATAAATACTGACCCTTATGTTGTCAATCTGTAAGTAACAGATGGCCCCATTTTTAAGTTTATTACTTAACTCGAAACTGTAAAAACAAATTTTTAGTTGTCTAATTTTTAAAGCTTGTTATTCAGAGCCTGAATTTTCAGTTAGTGTAGCTTTATGAGGTGACAACTCATATAGTGATACTTAGTCTAAGCCAAGAAACAAAGGTCTAAAAATTAGCAGACTATATTAATGAGTTACTTCTCATTTGTATTTTCAATAGTTTCCTCAAGCTGCTTTATAGGGAACTGTAAATTTATAAATTGATAAGAAAATAAAAAAAGTTACTAAAGGAAAGAGAGAACATGTTAGCAAAATGGTAGTCATTTTTCCAGGACTTTCCTAAATTTATAAGGATACTGCATTTCTTGAAGAATGTATATTGGCTGAAAGTGCTCAGTTATATTTTGAGTCATTTTCTTAACTGTTATGTAGTGCTATATCAGTAAAGCTGAATAGAGCATTTCAGATATTTTGTATCATAACGCATGATTCCATACTCTCTCCAAGGCTAAATTTTGTCATTTTGTTGGCAAGTTTTTGATATATTTGTTTTAGTAAAATTAAAAGCAAATGCTCTTAAGAAGAATGGAAAGATTTATCACAAGTTTGTTACTTAACATATACTGCTAATATACATTAAGAATGAATGCTCTTAGAATATTAAAGTTATAAGGTATTTTTTCTCTCTTTTCTTCATGCCTTTTTGATGTAATTAGAAGCTAACTCGACGCATATTCGAGAGGTTCAGGGTTCGAATCCCGGCAACGACACTGCAAATTTTTCACGTTTCCCGCTTCAAAAAAACCTAATGTCTCTACAGTGTATATTATATAATATCTTTAGGTAGAGATGCTTCAGATAGAGCTTTAAAAATATTTTTTTATGCATTTTCCAGAATGCTGAGCTCAGTTACTTACATAAAGCACATAGAATATGCAGAAATTGACTCGATCAGGCAATGAAAAGCCCTTCTTATAGGTCTTATTACAAATTGAGAAAAAATCAAATTTTTTTTCACCTTGGTTATGAGAGTAATATTTCAGATAAATACGTTATGCCTTTGTACAAAATGAAAAGCTAATGAATGCTATCACTTCGATACCGAGATTTTCAGATCAAGCAAAGATAAAGAAAAGGTAACAGCTTAATCATGAGGTTTATATGTTTTGTTTGTGTGAATATAGCAAAGCACATAAAGACTATCTAACAGAGATGTGTTTCAGTTATATCTAAATACATGAATAAGACACAAGTGGTAAAAATGATTAAATAGATGAAATCTATAACATTTTTTAATTACCTTCATTCTTTTGCCAGTAAAAGGTTGAGATGCTATGTTGTAGTGTAACTGAGAATTTTAAATAATACAAATTAAAATGTATTAAAATCATTTAATTTACACTCAAAGATAATTATGCAACAGATAACAAGATAATGTATAATAAATTAAGTGTCTTATCTATAGATCTGTGCATGGAGCATTACAAATAACATTTCTATAGTAAACTGGAACATTTATGTATAAAATACAAGCATAGAGAACAGAAAAACATATTATACAGTTGCAGAATTACAAAAGTTATCCTTTTGATAAATATCTTATCCCTCAACAAATATATATTAATTGAACGTTTTGAAAAATATGTGTCTAAAATAATTCTTTATTCTAAATTATAGTTACTTCTTTAATTTTATGATTATTTATAAATCATACATTTCACTTGCTATTGGTTCTCATTATCCACTGATTTATATCCTTTATATTATTCCAGATTTCTTTAAAAAGCATATCTACAAATTTTAAAACACAGCACAATACATTTTTACAAACAAAATAAATAAAAAATTACAATAAAATTTTAATAATTTCAAAAAGTTAAAAAACTCAACCATATTTTACAATCACAAAGTTTTAACATTCAAAATACAGTTTCTATGTCAAAGCTAAACATACAAATCTATATCTAATAAGTAGTAAAATTACAAAGCTTTAAATTATCACTACTTTGAACTGGCTGCATTTACAAATACTGCAAAATGAAGATTTTGAGTGAGCAGTAAATGATTTATTATGCTACATTATAATTAGCAGATTAAAAATTTCATTTGTGAGTACATGGAAAGGCAAACATTGATTTTATGTACAATGAAAGTCAATGGGACGGGAACAGTTCGAGATCCATGTTTGGAAGGATATATATATATGCCACAATATCATGCTGCTGTAGCAGTAATTGATACTTACAAATAAGCTTTATACATAACATACATTAAATAAATTATACAAGTTTAAATAATCAGAAAAAAAAGTACTATCGAAATCTAAGATGACTCAAGCATAAACATGATCAGCAAAAGTGCATATACATGTACTTACAAAAGCTAGCACACATATGCACATATGGCGATGTAAAGAGCTTTGTAACAATTTAACTATTTTGAAAGTAGGTGAAAAATAGAAAGGGCTAAATCTTTGTGCCACTGCTTTAATGTCTTATACAAATTTAGGAAATGTTTGTCTTTCCAAAATAAACTCGATATTCTATAACAATTATATAATCCATTTGCATAGTAATCTGTTCTTGCAGTGCACCTAGCCAGATTTTAGAATTTAAGGACTGTATTCGAACATCAGTTGAACAATAAACGAAAATTTCTCTCTCATTTTCGTAAAAAAAAGAAGTATTGAAGGCCAAGTAAAAGCAACTTTAGCTAAAACGGACACTCTCAGAGTGATGATTTTTACATAAAAATATATTGTAAATTTTGTACTTGTTTACTTTTCAAACTTTTGTGAAAGATAATAGGAAGTGCACTGAAATAACAACAGTAGATTCTGTTTGATACAATGGAATGGTCCACTAATAAATCCAGCATTACCTGCACATTTAAATCTAGATTCAGCACTATGATAAAATAATACTGATATATCAGAATGCAATTTTAAATTTTGCATTCTGGTACCGTTTCAAGACAGACCTCCGCTTATCTAAGTCACACAAATATTTGGACAATATGTTGACAAAGATAGAAGCAGCTGTAACAGAATATGGAATGTACTTTCGCATCAGGTTGAAGGTTTGGGCATTTTAAAAAAGGCACTTTTGGAGGGAAAACTGAAGAACTTGTCTGAAAACAGTAAATTTTAAAAATTCTTATAGCTTAATATGGTCAACACTGATAAACATTTGAAGCTCAAACAACTTTTTACTTCATTTTAATAGCAGACAATCGCATAAATACATGTTTCATCTATTTTGAATGTTTATGCAGTTAATCTATTAAAATATTTTTAAACTCGGTGAGCAATCAATTTGTTTTGTGATGCTATTTACTCACAAAACGAACAAATATTGTATTTTCGGCCGAGCTCTTCAGCTACAGGATTCATTGCTAAAATTCACCAAGTCCTTTTTTTTTATTATTTTCTCAAAAGAAACTAATGCACTTATGTTCAAAAGGACAACATATAACAATAATACACTTACGTTCTAAGAACAACAGGGTTCAAATAATCTCAGTTCAAACACAATATTGTCAAAAAAGATTCTGATACTAGGCAGATGTATTAAAAGGAAATGAAAATCACAAACTGTTGTAAGAACTAGTGATAAAATTGCAAGAACATAATTTAATGACTTTATAATAAAAATGACTAATAATTTAATGATTTAAAAATATTCATCCTTATTCATACCTAAAATTTCTGTTTTCATTACAAACATCCAATTGGCTTTAGATTTAGAATTTGGTGACTTGAAAAAATGAACTTGGTGACACTACATATATAACACTGCATGAGGTCTCAGTTTACGGATGGCTGCTTGAAGACGGGAGGGAATCTCAAATAATTAAACATTCCATTCTGACTTCCTTCTCTGCATAAATGCAACTCCATATCTTCCAGCTATATCATTACTTGATAAGCCAAAATAATGCACAGGAAAGAGCCATGCCTACCAACTGTCAAAAAATATACACGTTATAAGAGTGGCATTTAAATATTAAGAGTTACATAATAAACAGAAAGTAATAAATTTAAACATTTGAAATCTGCACAAGTTGGACGTTATCTTAAATTTTGGCACGATTCCAAATGTAATGTTAACTCTCATGATGACAAGCTGTGAAAGTAACCATATTTCAGGCAACAAATATTTGTATTCAACGTCCTCTCTCAAAGATGACTGCATCCACAGAAGATTAAAACCATCGAAATGTGGATGGTCGTTTTAGAAAATTTTCTCTATGTACGCTCCTTCTGTTCAAAAATTGAGCTTCCTTTGAAATAACTCATTATCTGAAATGGCATCAAGCAAAGAAATAAAGAAAATTAATTTATACAAGAAAAATTTTTGAGCTTTTCTGGGAGCAAAGATTGCATAAAAAATCAAACCAAATAACAAATGAAATATGCAGACATTAACTATAGTAACATTAAATATGATAAGTAATAAAATAATACAGTCTGCATAAAGTAGAAATAATGCATGTGCAGATTAGTACACTTTGCAGACTCGAAAAGAACAGCCAACATACTGAAAAGTTTGGCTAGTTGATGAATTGACTAAAGCAAAACACGAAAACATTATCAGCCTGAAATAAAGGGTGCCTTCGTAGAGAAAATTCTAAGGGAAATCGGTTAAATTTTATGCATTACACGTGGTGAAAAACCAACAAAACTCTCATACAACTATATGGGATATGAACACAGGTTCACGAGCTACCAGTGTTCACTTACATTAAGCACTCTGCCATTGATGAGCCTCTGAAAGAATCAGATTTGTTTATACTGACGCGTCCAAATCTGGGGCATTTTGAGAAATTAGAAAATCATCTACAGGAGAAAGTATTATCAACTAAGAACTCATCAACGACTGAATTCATTCCGGAAGGCAAATCACAAGCATCTGCCAAGTTTCATGTCTACTAATATTCATGTCAAAGACAGTTTTTTTTTTTTTTAATACTCAGTTTGATTTGGTTTGATAGAGAGAGCTTAAAAATAAGACAACGTACTTGATTGCTTGCATACCCACACTCTTATACTGTACAGGTTTTCGTAACCACTTAAATTACATGCAAACCAGCCATTTACTTATGTGCATTTTAAAAATAATTGCAGTATTTCCCAAAACAAATGACAAAAAATTTAGGTTTTACACATTTTTCTTGTTAAAAAAAATGCGAGTGAAGATGAGTTAAATTTAAACTCAATTTCAATCTAAAATTAAAATTTCTTCAATTAACAAACAGAGGTATAACACTAGGATCTTAATATAGAAGATTAAAATAATTAAATAGAAGATTCTTTTAGATATAGATCTTTTAGATTAGATTAAAATAGAAGATTCTTTTAGTACCCATACAAAAAATTAAATATGAAAGAATAAATGTAAAAAATACGTACAAGTAAGCAGGCAATTCCAACTCCAATGCCTCCAACAATTTTGGCATGTTTCTCCACAAAATCTTTCATTTTTTCATAACAACCCTAAAATGTATAAAGAAGTATGAGAATTAAGAATTAACTTTAAAAATTCCCATCATAGTGACATGCAACAGAGGTTGAAATAAAACCCTGAAATAGTTAAGAAAAATAGCCAGTTAGTGACTGTCCTCAGCATATGTATCCTATTTGCGAAAAATTGAAAGTGAAAGATTGAATGACCTTAATCTCTGTCCTAGGCCGAATATACAAAGAAATTCCAACATGGTTTCAACAACTTCATGTTCTTGGAACGACTTTCTTACTCCATCAAAACTTTTGAGTGAGAAATATGGAGGTTAGCTCATGGGAACATATGAGAAAGAAACACTTCAAAATTATTTCTGTTACTGTTGGGAAGGCGAAATAGAGATGTGAAAGAACGGTCGGTTTAAACTTTTGCAGATTGTTACAAAAATAAGGTCAAAAGATGCAGTTTCAAATATTTTATTTCTATTGCGAATTTTCCTCATTACTGGAAGTGTTAGTAGTCGTCAGAAGAGATTTTCTAAAAACAATCAATTAAGAAGCACCTAAGATGAGTATTTTGCATTTAAGCATTTTTACCATATTGTCTACAAAATAGGAACAGGAGTAAACGAGGATGACATTTTCTAAGCCTATTTCATTATTCAAAGAAGCTGCGAAGCGTTTGCAAACAGAAGGGAGAAAATTATGCTTATGTATAAAGTAAAACATTAATTCCAACATTCTAAAATGCTATTTTTTCTGTTAGCAAAATTATTGACGGCATTGTAAAAGTCTGTTTCATTACTTTGCCCTCCGATATTAAATATATTTCTACAATGCTGTTGATAATTTTGCTAAGAAAACAGCAAGTAAAATAACAATTTAGGATATTTTTATTTAAAGGATGCTAGATATTTTACAGTACTTTTCCAACTTTTGTATTGTAAAAAAATCATTTGAATTTATCAATAAACTAAAGAATATTTCTCCTCAGAATTTAGCTATGCCTTCTTTTAATGTCAAATCAGTTTTTTTTACTGATAGTTCAATTGGAGAAATTCTAAATTTTTTTTTAAACAAAACTTCGGGAATTCCATTTGACTCATGAAATTGAAGACTTAATCTCCCTAACTGAAGTTTCTCTACATCAGGCTCATTTTGTTTTCCAAACAATTTCTATTGCCAAATCGAAGGATTAATTCCTCAGCCAAATCGAAGGATTATTTTAACAAGTATTAACTTACTGAAATTAACATTACTATTGAGATTAAATTTTTTAAAACATTACTTTTCTTTCTGGATTCGCCATGTTGATGACACTTTCGCACCGTTTGGTGGTAATTAAAAAGGTTTAATAAGTATTTTACCTGTTACGAATTTGTCATTATTTTATATTTTCCTGTAAGTTAATACAGTACAAAGTCCAAAATCCGGACTGGTCGGGACTTCGGCGATTCCGGATTTGGGATTTTTCAGGATAATAGATCATCAATTTAAATCTGGTAAGATGGCATGCAGAAATTATACAATTAAAAATATGAAATCGTAATTTATGAAATAAAGAACAATTATGATCTAAAGGGTATCAAAATTTACAAAAGAAAGCTTAATATTTGTTTACTTTATTAAACATTTCTTTCAATGTAAGTTGTTTAAGATGCTTCCACAAAAAATTCAAAAAGTTCCTTTTTGTGTCAAATACAGTGGACTTTCCAATGCCATACTTAATAATTAGGAGACGGATATGCCTTTATCCATTTTTTGAAGCAATTCCATTCTTTGTTTAATGGACATCGAAACACGGTTTCGTAACGCGGTTTCGTTTTGTAGATACTTTAGCAACTCCAGAATTGGAAACTCTTTTAGACATAATCGAAAGTTCAAGCTTACTTTTTATAAAATTGCCGTAATAATAACAGTCTGCAAAAAAATAATCAAATTAGAAGATCAGACAGCAGCGCAGTCTGCTACATTAATTGAAATGCCTTAGAATCAGTAAAGATAATTTTAGCCTAACTTAATAGCGTCTGTTATACAGGGTGATCAGCGAATAAGCCCTGATTTCAAAATTAAATATCTGTACAACGAAAAACGATAGAATTATGCAGTAAACTGTACATTTATTAGCAAAACTGTAAAAATGGTGTATAAAAGTTTAGAAAATTTAGTTACAAAAAATCGTTAACAGATGGCGCTCTGTATTGAAAACTCTTTCTCTGAAAGGAGTCATAAAAAATAATTAAAAAAATAAAGTGAAGCAGCCTTTGCAATCAAAATACAATTTTTTTTCAAATGTTCACCGTTCGAAACAATGTGGTGGCGTAAACGAACAATGAAATTTGACATCACGTCTTGCAATGTCTCGAAGGAAATGGAATCACTAGCAACACCAATCAACGATTCAAGCTCATCTAGAGTAGCAGGATTGTTTCGATAGACAGCGTCTTTCAATGTGCCCCACAGAAAGAAGTCACAAGGACTCAGATCGGGAGAATATGGAGGCCAAGCTATTCCTGTGTCAGTAAATTGAGGATAATCTAACGCAATTACTCTATTCCCAAAGTATTCATGAAGAAAGTGAAAAAACTTTTTTTGTTCGATGTGGTCGGAACCAGTCGATACCTGGTCGATCCTCCAATGCTAGTTGAGTGCTGACAAATTGTTCCAAAATTGTAACGTAACGTTCAGTAGTTATCGTTTCTCGTACAAAAAAAGGGTCCCATAATACCTCTGGCGCATACCGCAGCCCATGCCATAACTTTAGGCGAATGCAGTGTGCTTTTTCTTCACACAAATGAGGATTTTCGGTAACCCAAAATCTCCAGTTTTGTTTATTAAAGATTCCATTCAAATGAAAATGTGCCTCATCTGTGAACCAGATGCAGATCACATCAAATCTGTCGTTGTCGACCATTGATAGAATCTGATTCGCAAAGTCAACCCCTTTGTTGCACAGCTTTCATGGGTATGGCCTGATGACTTTGGATTTTGTATGGAAACAGCCGTAGGCTATTTTTAAATATTTTTTGTGTGCTCGTGTACTTCAAACCTGTCTCTGATGCCATCCGTCGGATGCTTTTCCTAGGAGTTTGCTGAACAATTCCAGAAACTTTGGCTGCATTTTCAGGAGTGACTATAGTTTGTTTAGGCCCAACATTTCCCTTTCAATCATCAGCCACGCTGCCAGTCCATTCGAATTTCGCGAAGAGCATGCGAATGGTTTTCGCATCGGGTCCAACTGGAACATAAAAATCGGTTTTGAAAACTGCGACATGTTGCTGTAGGAGTATGTTCTATTTGGTGAAATTCCAGAACCAAAATACGCGTCGTTCAATGGAATACATTATTTCACTTTCTACGCTAGCCTCTTTTCACTAGCCAACAGTTGTACCGTTCACTTTAGACTTCGAAGCACATTTTAAAGGCTATTGATAGGTCATTGCGATTAGAGCACCATCTGTTAACGATTTTTATAACTAAATTTTTTTAACTTTTGTACACCATTTTTACAGTTTTGCTAATAAACGTACAGTTTACCGCATAATTCTATCGATCTTCGTTGTAGAGATATTTAATTATGAAATCAGGGCTTATTTGCTGATCACCCTGTACATTATTAGCTGTGTATCACAAGATTGGCGACGAAAGCCAAGTTGTTTCGCTAAATTTTGTCTTGCTCCAATTGCGTACTGAATTAAGCCTGAATTTTATTAGTTTAGTTATTTACTATACCTACGTTTATTTGTTTATCTGTGAATGTGACTGCAAGATGTTACTTCGCAGTAGAAAAGAAACTGAACCTAAAACTCTATTACAGATCTAAGAAGAAAATGTGCTTCCAAACCTAAGAGTCGCAGTTCAAATACTCCTTACTATTTCAATATCAAATTATAGCTAAGAACGTTCGTTTAGCAAATTAAAATAAATTTTGACATATTTACAATCAACGATGGGACAAGATCCCCCTAAGTCATCTAGCATTTTTAAATGTGGAATGAGAAAAATTTGAAATGATCAACTTTGATGAAGTAATTCATAAATTTGCTTCATCCAAGACAAGAAAAATGTATACATAGTAATTAATATATTATTATATCATTATAATTAAATATATCTACTTAAAATAAATACCTTTTGAACTAATTCTAGATCATCTATGTCTGATTTTTCCGCCGACACAGATACATTTCCGAATTCAATGCTAGTGTAGTTAGGTAATGACTATTCTTAATATATTTTAGAGTATTTTATGGAAAATTCAGCATTTGATTATTCTTTGCATTATTTTCTTATTACGAATATATTCTATACATAATATTACTGCAAGTGTTTTTTTAGGGGGGCGCCAAAAAAGGTATTTTGCCCCGGGCGCCAGTTATGCACGCTACGCCACTGTTCCGGATAATGGTTACGGATTTCGGACTTTGTACTGTAAACATGTGTTTAGAACGTAGATATTTACCTCCAAGTAGGCGTTGCTTTCAGTAGGTTCCTTTTGACATCTGTCACGCAATCCGTCATCTTTGGTCTTGCAACACGTGGCTGGTATCTTGTAAATGCCTCCAAAGTGAGCATTTCGTTTCGACCATACTTCATAGCCTGGGTCCTTTTCCATTGACATGCCGCAACATTTGAACTAAAAATATAAATAATATAGTAACAACTAAAATGAGCAACATTCTTGTCTGAAAACAATTCGAATATTTTGACATGGATTACTAAAAGAAAATAAAAGCAAATGCAAGTACTGTAAGAAATGTTCAACTGAGAATTTTTAATTCAGTTTCATTATTTTACTGAACATTAGTTGAGTTGAAATTGAACTTGAATACGAGTTGAAGTTTCTCTTAATGCATGTAATACCAATGCATGAAAAAAGTAGTATAAGGAAATACCCTTTTTCATGCATTTAACATCCCTGTTCTTGAAATCAGTATTGACACTTTCTCCCTCCTTTATGCATGTCTTCGTGATGTAACTGGGAGCACGCTCGACACGTATTCAGGAGGTCCGGTGTTCGAATCTCAGTGAGGGCATTCCGGATTTCTTCAGGTTTACTGACATCGAAAAACTGTAAAAGACTCTATAACTGGCGACCAAATTAAAAGGTGGTGGACGATAATTCATCACCAACACGATTTGCCGACTGGTTTCTGTAATCTCCAGTGCCCTTTAACTGCTCTAAGTTGAATCGCTTCACGTGAGCAGTGTGCGGCCACAGAATGACTAACCAAATAAATGAGACTTCGTCTTTTCTCTTTGCTAAGCAACGAACGAGGTATGAGGTTTCTGCGAGTGTTGGACATATATGATAGAAATAATTGCCGAACGTACACATGAAACAGCAGTAAACAGCCAAAGTCTTCATTGAATGCGCATTTGCGCCCATTGACTACATCGTCGGACGCACATATGCGTCCATAGGCCTCACCGATGGTTTTTCCTGGTCGCATATATGCACCGATAGTACTCAAAGGGTTACAACGAGGATTATAGAAGATATTTTCTCCTCTATTTCCACACGCTTTCGTGGTGTACCCAACGAGATAGTATACTGGTAGAGAGCGTATTGCAACCTTCAACCGGTTCCAACATTAGTGTCACGTGACTGCTGCGCGAATTCCGAAAGTCCGGAAATACTTTACATTGCTTTCTATGGGACGAAAGACTGCTGCTCTGCTTGGTCACATAAAATTTAAGTAAAAATGGTTATTCGCTGCAGCGCCTATACGGATGTAAAGAAAGTTTCGTGAAAGGAGGACTTGTAACCTTTCATAGGTAAGTTAAAACTGCATGATTTATTATTTTATTTTCCAGTATTTTTGTCATTTTACTATCTCTGTTGAATTGGTTGGAAAGTTTCAGCCATATTGTATTCAAGAAAATTGCCGCCGTATATGACATTTTTCAGCATGTATTATTAGCATCAAAATGTATTAAATACTGTGACACTATTTACTGGAATCACCCTTTACAAATAATTGAATTTTATATGTTTTTTCCGTGTATTCCGTTGAAATAGAAAGCTGCGCGCGTTAACTTTTTTTCGCCAAGTTGTACGCGTTTTGATTTCATAAACAATTACTGCCTGCAATAAAAAAAAGAAAAATGCTATTATTAGCATTAAATTATTGAGAAAAGATTGTGCGATATGTTTACTTTGTTAAAAAAAAAGCTGAAGATCTTGATTCATGCAACATTGAACGTAAAACAGTTAAACAGCATTATTTTAAAAATCAGATTACTTTTATAAAGCTCAATGCTTTATCATTATTTTCTATAAAATCAATTAAAATAATCTGGATTATAATTCTGTCTCATCTACGATGCTATTAGAAATTTATTGTAATTGAAAAAATGTGATGTGAAAAACTTACCATATTTTAAATAGTATTTAAAAAAAAGGAGAGTGAGAGAATTTTTAACTGTAATATCGTTTTGATCCTAATAATAAATACTGAGATGAAGTTTGTTACCGTTTGATACATATTCATAATAAAATATTTGTTATAGTTAATAAATTTAAACAAATTTCAATTTAATTTTTAACAAATACGTATAAAAGTAAAAAAGCAAATTTAAATCCTAAAAAAAGCCAAAATAGTTTTTAAAAAAAATGTGCAAACATATAAAAGATTTAATACTCGAACTAATCTACAATATCATTTAAATTCAGAAGCATAAGCAAATCAAGTGCAAAATCAATCCATTATTTGTTAAAATTTATTAATTATTTGTTAAATTAATTAATTATTTGTTAAAATCATCATTATTTTTAAAAAATTAAATTTAAATTTGTTTAAATTTAAATTTCATTCCTTGCAGCAATGGCGCAAAGAATATTTAATTAAATTTGTATTTAAATTTAATTTTTTAAATTAAATTCAATTTATTCTTATGAAACAATGTTATAGTTAATAAGATGTAATGATCCCCGCCATGACATACATATGAGTGTGGAAATCAGTAATTAAGATTGCATTATTTTGTTCCAGTAATATAATCTCAAGAAAAGAGAGGCAATCAATGGCATCAATACATATAATACAATGTGATTTTCTTTTTCTCTTTAGGATGCAATGCATTAAAATTAAACGAGATTTTTTTACCTTCTCAAATATTATAACAGTAGTGCAATTAATTTTTTAACGTTATTCAAAATTAAAGTTTCCATCTCAATTTTTTATTACTTATTTTATATTTTCTTCCTAAAATTATTTAACCTAAACATCTTAAACAATGGTGCAAATAATTTAAAGCGATTATTAAAAATATAGATAAAATATTCAGGAAAAAAAGGGTTAAGTTATATCTAAATATAATTGTAAAAAATCGAACAACCTAATTCGAGGCCGTTGTCTGCTGACTGCTAGCAGACGGAAATAAAAAGCGCTGCCTGCCATATCAAAAGCGGGCCAAACTGGCGATGAACAGCCTAAGCTATCACTCCCCAAGAGCGCCAAGAGCATTAGTCACGTGGTATATGTTGGAGACACCCTAGCAGACGAATTCTCTGTGGGTGAGCCGTCTACCTGTTATATGAAGTCGTTGGGTGTACCAAGAAGCAAGCTTAAAGCGTATTCGGGAGATTCAGAGTTCATATTCCAGCAAGGGTACTGCGGATTTCTTCAGTTTCCTGACATCGAAAACTTCTAAAAGATCCTATAATTTCCTGACATACGTGAAAGTTGCCTTCGGCGAAAGTTTACGCAAGTAGGAATTTAGTAATTGTGATTTTCTCCGAAGCCTTATGCAGTCACACCCTAATGTGCGAACTGACCTTAGTTAAAACAAGAAATGTTGTCAGGAGATATAAAGAATAGAAACACTCAAAGTATAGTCAAAAATACCAAAAAGAAATTAATTCTTTACATTTGTAAAAGCCATTATAGAGCTATGCATTAAAAATGATTTTTTACACCATCACGTACAAGTTCAATACTGTGCATTTTTAAAGCAATATAAGACACTCAAGCGAGAAAGAAATGTTACAATAAATCTGATACAGTAGTGGATACAGTAGTGGACATATATTAAACATAAAACAATACAACAAATTAAACTGGAATAACTCAATAAAATTAAAGTAAAATATTCATCACGGCATTAAGCAGAACCATGTAAATATGACATACATAATCACGTCCAATAAATACCGTACATACAAGTAAACAGCTATTCCATTTTTGGCTCAGACAACCACAAAAATTTTCACCAAAGGTAACAGTTAATGGTGCAATAGGAAATAATCTCATTCCTTTCAGCCAGACAATTAGAGTAAAACGGATGCGTTTAGCAAATTATTAGATACTTAGAGCAAAACGGATACGTTTTAGAGCAAAACGGATTAGACGGATACGTTAGAGATTTGCAAAACGAGCAAAACGGATACGTTTTATTAGATTAGCATATTAGAGCAAAACAGGTACGTTTGTGGTGATGGCGATAAGGAGCGCGCCTTGCGCCCTCCGATAAGTGTGGCAACCCTAGAGGAGAAATTTCTTACGAGTAGCGAGCAGAGCGAAACAGACAGGCTGTCGGGGAGTATGCGCGATGTTCCTAAATAAAGTTTAATTTTTATTGTGCACTATGTCTTGTTAATATTTATATTAATGCAGTAAGAACATAATCTGTGATATGGAATTTGAGGATTGGTGGTAAAAACATACAGGTAAAACATGATAGGAATCACCATAATGGTAACCCGGACTGTGTTAAATCAGGCCGTATGAACAGTTCTCAAGCACTTTCGGTTTTGACTACAAGCCATCACTCAAGATCTCCAAACCAGAAGTAATGGATTACATCGGTTTTCGTCTCTCCGGATCACAGATGAGTAGTAATTATAGATCATTTTATAATTCTTTTTTCTACTTATCATTTAATTTCATTTTCTTTAGTTAAATTTTTCCTTTTATTTTGGCTTAAAAACCTTGCACAATGTCTGATGTTTATGCCGTCCAAATTCCGGTTTATAACCGATCAGACCCATCTTTATGGTTTATTATGTGTGAAAGTATCTTTGCTTTTGCCACCCCCAAACCTATCACAGAATCCATTACTAAATATAATTATGTAGTTTTCTCATCTTCCTCCAGATATCGCATCACTAGTACGGGATTTACTTATGAAACCAGACCCTATTGATCCATATGCAAAGCTTAAAACTGAGTTAATAAATCGTTCAGGAGAATCTTCTCAGCAAGAAATTCGCCAATTATTATCTGGAGAAGAATTAGGTTCTCGAAAACCTTCCGATTTGCTTAGAAATATGAAACGTCGAGAGCAGAATCTTTAAATGTTCCTGATAACTTAATGTTAGAATTATTCCTTCAACGTTTGCCTTCGACTGTTCAGTCTATTTTGGCAGCGGTTTCCAATTTAACTGTAGATAAAGCTGCAGAAATTGCCGACAGAATTTTAGAAGTAAATCCAACCCCAGGGACTTGTGCCGTTTCTCGCACAGTCGATCAGTCTCTTGAGGATAAATTATTTAAACAAATAGAAAAATTAAACAAACGTATTGATCGCATTTCTCTTTCTCGTGGTCGCTCGCCAAATCGCGGAGATCGCAATAAGGAAAGAAGCAATTCCAAAAGGAGAGATTATTCTGTTTGCTGGTATCATAGACGTTTTGGGAAAAAGTGTAGAGATGACAAATGTACAAAACCTTGTTCATGGCAGGGAAACGAAACCAGCAAAGAATAGAGGCGACTTATTCTTTGCCTCAAGTTTCACGTCGCCTGTTCGTTCGTGACCGTAGAACAAACCTTTCATTCTTGGTCGATACCGGCTCTGACGTGTCCTTACTTCCAGCAAATAATTCTCAAAAACGGAATTCGTCCCAACAAACACTTTTCGCTGCTAATTCTTCTACTTATTCATGTTTATGGTCAAAAAACACTTTCTTTGGATTTCAAATTAAGACGACAGTTTACATGGACTTTTCTTATAGCAAATGTTAGTACACCCATTCTTGGAGCAGATTTTCTCCATTTCTTTTGAATTGGTGCCTGATCTCAGAAACAAATGTCTCAAAGATTTAAAAACGCATTTTAAAACCGTCGGTTGCGTGAAAAATGCAAGCATTTATTCAGTAAAAACTGTGTATTTAGTGATACACCATATCACAAAATTTTAAAAGAATTTCCTTCAGTTACTAGATTACCAGATCCTAACCAACCTGTTAAACATAACACCGTTCATTATATCATAACTAAAGGTCCACCTGTGGTTGCAAAACCTCGTCGGTTAGCTCCAGATCGCTTAAAAATAGCAAAACAAGAATTTCAAACTATGATGCAATTGGGGCATTTGAGACCTTCGAGCAGCAATTATGCATCCCCACTTCACATGGTTCCAAAAAAGGGAAGTCTGGAATGGAGACCTGTAGGAGATTATCGAGCATTGAACGCTCAAACAATAAAAGACAAATACCCTATTCCATGCTTAGCCGATTTTACTGCTGCATTGCACGGTACTAAAATTTTTAGTCATGTCGACCTGATTAAGGCATACCATCAAATACCAATTAACCCAGCCGACATCCACAAAACCGCCATATGCACACCATTCGGTTTATTCGAAAGTACCCGTATGCAATTCGGCTTATGCAATGCATCCGCGACTTTTCAACGTTTTATAGATGAAGTCACGCGGGATTTAGAAGGTGTTTACGATTTCGTCGATGACTTGCTCATAGCCTCTAAAGATTCTGAGGAAACATTGCAGGCATTTGAAAGCTTTATTTTCCAAACTTCAGGAATATGGACTTTGCATAAATGTTTCAAAATGCACCTTTGGTCAAACATGTCTATTGATTTCTTAGGTTTTCACCTTAGTGAAAACGGAATTGAACCTCTTCCTGACAAAGTCAAATGTATTTTAGATTTTCCTCAACCTACCACTCTCACTCAGCTTCGCCGATTTTTAGGCATGTTTAACTTTTATAGATGTTTCATACCTAAAGCAGCACATATTCTTTCTCCTTTAATAAAATTGTTAGAAGGCTATATTAATAAAAAGAAATCTCGTTCTCGTGTTCAGGATTCATCCCCACAATTAAATTGGAACGAGAATGCTGAACAAGCCTTTATTGCTGCCAAAAATGCCATTGCTCAGGCTACCCTTTTGAGACACCCTATTCCCGGAGCCCAGCTAAGCATCTGGGTAGATGCCTCAGACGTCGCAATAGGCGGCACACTTATGCAGTTGTCTCAAAACATGGGAACCTATAGCATTTTTTCTCAGTACTCTACTGATATTAGGCATGTGCAAGGTTCAAAAAACGTCGTTGCTGACGCTCTTTCAAGAATCGAAATTGATTCCATAACAAAATCTCCATTTTTGGATTTTAAAAAATTTTCGGAAGCTCAAAGGCATGATCCGGAGGTACAAGACCTTCTCAAAAACAACACATCATCTTTGAAACTGGAATTTAAACCGTGCCAATATTCTGATGGTAATATTCTGTGTGACATATCAACAGACATTCCTCGTCCATTTGTTCCAAATTCCTTTCGCAGACTCATCTTTAATCATCTGCATAATCTGTCACATCCAGGAATTGCAGCTACTACGAAGCTTATTTGTTCTCGTTATGTATGGCCCGATATGAAACGTCATATCAAAATTGGGTGAAATCCTGTGAATCTTGCCAAAAATCGAAAATTACTAGGCATACTAAAGCCCCACTGGGCACATTCTCTCTTCCTGATGCACGTTTTTCAGAAAATCCATATGGATATCGTCGGACCGTTACCTCCATCAGAAGGCAATGTGTACCTTTTGACTCTAATAGATAGATTCTCCAGATGGCCTGAAGCCATTCCCATCCCGGATATGAAAACGGAAACCATTTGCAGAGCCATCTTCAACTGTTGGATATCTCGTTTTGGCTGCCCATCGATCATAACAACAGACCAAGGTTCTCAAATGAGATCCGCACTTTTTGCAGAATTCACGCGCATTTTGGGTACGAACAGAATCACAACAACAGCCTATCATCCAATGTCAAACGGCATTGTTGAACGATTTCATCGACATTTAAAATCTTCTCTCAAGGCTCACGAGACCAATAACTGGACTGAAACACTACCAGTTGTTATGCTTGGTATTCGGACAGCCGTAAAGGAAGATCTACAGTCATCTTGTGCTGAACTGGTGTACGGCACAACTCTCAAGCTGCCTAGTGATATGATAACGTCATCTAAGATATCTCCGTATGACACACAATTTATCACGAATCTTCGGCATAGAATGCAACAGTTGAATCCAATAGCAACATCTGCACATTGCCAAGAAAAATGTTACGTAAGTGCTACCTTAAAGTCGTGTACGCATGTATACTTACGTGTCGATCGAGTAAAGCCACCTCTGTGCCAACCATATACAGGTCCGCATAAAGTCCTTTCTAGAACAGACAAAACTTTCACAATTGATGTTAACGGTCTGAAATCTACTGTGTCTATAGACCGTGTGAAACCAGCCTATTTGCTTTCGGACTCTAATTTGCCTGAACTGAAAACAAATAAAGACTTAAAGACAGTTCAGCAGAATAAATCTGCAAACGAACTCTCTAAGACACAAACTGTCACCAGATCGGGAAGACATGTTCACTTCCCTAAGAAACTTGCTTCTTTACGTAACAATTTAAAACATTTCTTTTAAAATTCATATCTTAACATATTTCTTGTTATTTCATGTTTATTATATGTGTCAATACCTTGTTATATATTGAATTGCATTTTGATCTTTTCTAATTTTATATTCTAATTTTGTAATCATGTAAAAAATACCCGACAGTACGGATCCTCTAAGATAATTTCATAACCTATGTCGTTCCTTTGAATAGTCATTAAAGGAACTGGGGGAAACTCTGTGGTGATGGCGATAAGGAGCGCGCCTTGCGCCCTCCGATAAGTGTGGCAACCCTAGAGGAGAAATTTCTTACGAGTAGCGAGCAGAGCGAAACAGGCAGGCTGTCGGGGAGTATGCGCGATGTTCCTAAATAAAGTTTAATTTTTATTGTGCACTATGTCTTGTTAATATTTATATTAATGCAGTAAGAACATAATCTGTGATATGGAATTTGAGGATTGGTGGTAAAAACATAACAGGAAAACTCCCTACGTTTCTGGATGTTTAAAAGCAACAGTATTTTATGCCAATGCAGACAGATTTGAACAGTTATCTTTTATTCATTAGCAATGAAAATTTACAATAAAACAGAAATAATAAATAAATGAAGAATTGCAATCTGAAATTAAAATTAAACAAAAATAATTATATTAAAGAGTTGTTACTAAAAACACTACCGTTGCTACCGGAGCAATTAGTAGTTAGACAAGAACACTGATGTGAAAGCCTGTAACTTAGGAGGAAAGAAACGAAATAATGCAATCATTTATATATATAAAAAAAAAAAAAAAAAAAAAAAAAAAAAAAGCAAGAAAGTTCATTACGATGCTCTGTACAGCATCCCATGCATCCGTCACTTGAGTATCATTTTGGTACATCTTAATGGTCATCAGCATTTCTGAATACATTCTATCATCCACCTAGTATAAGAAAAAGTTATGAATTCAGATGCAGTTTTTCTTATTCATATTACTTCAAATCACAACAATAAAATACAGATAATCACTAAAATACATATAATCATAAAATACAGACATATGGCAAAGAAAAAGCACTAGAATAATTTACGTAGGGTAAAGAACATTCGAGAATTTTCAAACCGTATTTGATTGCGAGTGAAAACTTACATTATAAAGTATATTTTAAGTAAGTTAACCCAATTTTATGATTCGGATTGGTACTATAGTTACTATTTATACTTACTACATCTTTTCGTTAGTTTTCACCACGATGCAAATAAGTTAGTACAATTTAAGGTGAGAGTTTTGAATACTTTAGAGAGCATTTAATAGCAACGGTCACAGCTTTACTTCCTCTCACCAATAAATGTTATGTTAAGAGCCATTTTAACAGCCGGAGTTAAATCACGTCATTAAAAATTTTGAGCCAACGCTTAGTTGGGTGAAACTGGGAAGTCTCCCGCAACGAATTCACTTTAAACTATAAATTCATCTTCCTGAATTTAATAATACCAATTATTCATGTGATACAAGGATGGTGACCGCGTTCTCCCGTCACTCACTCACTCTGTTATATAACATTCACAAGTAGCGGAGTATGCATAAGCTGAGCCTTAAGTTCAAACTTTATAAAAAAGGGGGGTTATTTAAAAACTTCATAGGACTTCGTCGTATTTCCACAAAGCGATAGCTAACTTGGCAGTTTAATAGAATCTGAAGAATTTTAAAGTTAGTATTACACAAGTTAGGGCCTTAAAGCGTAAAATTTCCTCCTAAATTTAAACAAACTTTGATCAGAACAGAAATTCTCTTAATAGGAGTCATGAAAATTATTGCATTCAAAAAAGCATTTTAAATCGCATTCCTTATACTAATTAGATAATTAGAATTTTATATTTCTAAGTAATATCATACACTGTCTTTCATGCTTGTATATTGAAATATGTCGTAAAGCTATTGAGCTCGAAATTTATTTCATTATTTCGTTGTGCATTTAAAAAAAAAATCCGCAGGTCTGGCAAATCTTACCAATAATGTGCTTCATTTTCAGCAAACTAGGTGTTTACTCAAGAGGATAAAAAAAAAAAAAAAAAAAAAAAAAACCGGAGATTTGGGTTTTCGAAAAATTTGAATAGAATTTTTTTTTTAAATCTGCGAGAGGAAAAAGTTTGAAATAAAAGGATTTGAGAAAAAAAAAAAAAAAAAAAATTCCTGATTAGACTATAATTTACTCAAAAAAAGAAAAGAAAAAAGAACAAATGACATGGATTGTACTTAATGAATTGTTTATTTCTCCAAAACTTAACACGTTAACTTACAGAAAGTCTTAAATTATGCTGCAGATAAAAGTCTATATAGTATGTCAAGCATTTCTTTTATTTTCGACGTCAATTTTGAATGCTAAATTCATAACTAAATATAAATCTTAAAATTAGGCAAAAGGGGGGGGGGGGGGGTGGGGGGGCATGGGGGGGGGGGGGGGGGGGGGGGGGGGGGGGGGGGGGGGGGGGGGGGGGGGGGGGGGGGGGGGGGGGGGAGGGGGGTGGGGGGGGAGGGGGGGGGGGGGGGGATTTAACTGAAAATCCATTTTGATGGCCAACAGGTACAAGTCCCTCTTCGTCAGGAGCAAAAAAATCCATTTCAATGGCCTGGACAGGTACAAGTCCCTCTTCGTCAGGAGCAAAAAAATCATCAAAGAAGGGTACCTGGATACAGATGGGATTATTTTTTTTATATAAATGCCAGACAGTTGGCCTCTAAGGCATTAGTCTTGATCTTGCTTCCCAATACTTTAAGAAAAATAGAATTAAAAGATAATAGTGCAGTGCATTCGTCAGTATGCTCCTTATCCCACGGGTAAAATAATATTTGTAAAACGTACAACAGGGAAAACCACGAAAACTGCCATTCAGACAGATATTTCTCTTCTTTCTAAGCAGTCCTTGAACAAAGCTCAGATTGCATGAATTTACTATAGTTATAGAAAAAACTCAATCAGGATGTTGGGGTTTTAATTTGAGTTTAATAGTTAAAAATACTTTGCTTATTTGCGTACCACCGGTTGAGAAGCCCTGCACTAAGAGTTTTAACGTATGGATGGTACAGCTCTAAGGCCAATGGCGTTTAATAAGAAATACGCTAGTAAGCGCAACATGAAAAACAAATTTTTTTATGCTATAAACGATATGTGACAAAACAAGAGGTGAAAATCCCCACTGACTGGCTAAGGAAACTTGACAGCTGGAATAGCCATCTAGCTGTCAAGGTGGTGGCGCCCTCTATTGACGGTGAGGAGAGTCTTTGTAATTGGAAAAAGTCCATCATTATTAATCTGGAGCAGATATCACGTTGCCGCCGAATTAGCAGCGGGATTGTAACCAGAATGTTACGAACCTGGGAGGGTGCCTATGCAGGGGCGTAGCTAGAGGGGGGGGGCATCCGTCCCCGAGCGCAGAATCCAAGGGGCGTCAAACTGATGTTACGACATTTTAGAATTAAATGTTTTCCATCCTTGGCAGGCAGTAGGGGGCGCGAAATCTTGTTGTCCCTGGGCGCTGAAAACCCTAGCTACGACTCTGTGCCTATGCAAGCCATTACTGATCATCGGGAGTACTATACATGATTCTTGATATAAATGCAGCAATATGTTTACAAAATACATAAAATTGTAGGGAATTAAATACTACTATAAGACCGAGGAAAGTTCAAAAGTCTAAGTCCATGACATATCCACAGTAGGGATGTAATCAGCTGAGTGGCATACAATCGCGAACAGCGCTGCACTGGCAGCCGCTTATTGCTTTGGATAAGGTGCAGAATGTTTAAAATTTATATCTTGAGCACGGATAGTGGGAAAAACGCAGCTAAAAAATAAAAGCTAAAAAAATAAAAGCTGAAAGCTAAAAAATAACTAGAGTTTGAGTGCTATCCATACGATAGAAGTTCAATTAAAAATGGCAGTATTTCTAAAAATATTCAGTTTTGTCACGGCTGGGTTCTGACACCGGCTTATGAGTCTATATGGCAGATCATTTATACAAGACTGTCAGGGAAGTCACTCGTTAGAAGATTTCCTGTCTAAGCAAAGAAGGGTGAAGCCATGACCGTATTTGTACCAAAAACAAAGAATGGAGCAAACCGAAAACAAGCGTAACATCATCTGTCCAAGCAAATAGGACTCTTCTCTCGATTCCTATGAATCCTGTGTGCCATTACTCGAGAAATACGCCTAAAAAGTAAATTTTGACTGCTATAAAATTCTATACAAGTGCGAAACAATGAGCAATAAGTGAATCCAATAGTTTAAATATCGCCACATAGCTAGAAATTAAATGTACTTATACATAACAGTTCTTCATTAAAGAATTTTATTGCGAATTTGGGCATATTGTATTAGAGGAGACATTTGTTTAATTGCTAGGATGTACAATGGTACACTTGAATGACACACCAGTTTTGTTACCAACCAGTTTGCTTTTCTGATGGATTCCCCATCTATCAATAAAAGGAAAAAAAAAAAAAAAAAAAAACCTCTCTAAATGTCTTTATTATTTCTTTTTAGCCCGTTAAATGCTTAAGAATTAAATTAAAAGACTTTAGTTCTTTAAATTCTTCGATCAGATTGACCTGTGTTTCATTCTAGTGATTAGTTTTTTAATTTTATTTCACACTGAAGGCGTAATTTAAAATATATGAAGAATAGGTAAAAGTTAATATTTTTTTACTAACAGAATATACAGGACTGAAAATACATAATTTTTTAACATAGTGTCTCTCATATTCAGTACAGGTACAGTGACGCCTCAACAACAGCAATAAAAATGTCTTATAACCAATTCCCATTGCACTGTACTGCACTATACCTCACCTCTTGATCTCATTTCTTGTATTAAATAAAATTCTTTCCAGCTGGTACCTTCCAAAGGAACTCTCTAAAAGTTACTGAATTAATACACAAGAACTTCTGATTAAAAAGTTCTAATTGCTTAGCCATTGTCCAATGAATTTCTGCGGTTTTTCTCACCTACAAAACCTTAAAATCGGATAACAAATTTTTCCTGCTCTTTAAGCAATTCCCAGGTTAGGTTAGCTTATTAAGGCAAATACATGAAGGCTATCTGCCTGAGGAAACAACTTTCCCTTGGAAGACTTTCTATGGGAAACTGCCTCTTATTCATGACACTCATAGAAAAAAAGCACAAAACCACCCATGAGAAAAACCCGTTAGCTTGGATATAAAATCGTTCCAACTATCACCATTGAGCAGTTTTTACTACTTTGCAAGTGGTGGGCCGCAACTTCCTAAGTACTGTGGACACTGTAGTGTTTGCTGACATATTTCTAATTTCTAATAAGGCCAGTGGTTCTGCCTGCAAAAGAAATATCATGATGGAGGGCATATAATGTCTGTCGTACATACCTCTACTATGCAACTTTGAAAATTTTTTAATCATCATATTGATATTAATTTTTTGATTTTCTTCACATAATAGATGAGTACAGCAATAATGTTCCTGACTTGCTGCACTCAGCAATTCATATTCTTTTCATCGCTTCTATATTTAATATAAGGTTTTGTATGCCAAGAACATCAGTGAACATTTCTGTCGTAAAACTGAAGTAAGTACCAGATTGTTGCAAGGTAAGCACATTAAAGTTGATGAGAGTCTAAAATAAATTAGCCAGGAAGTTAGGTGATCCCAGACGAATATTCGCATACTAAAAAATTTGAATATTTTTAAGTCTTTTTATAATATTGAAAAAATTAAATTGTTAAAAATTTCAAATAAATGACTCCCTTGTTAAGATGATTAAAAATAAGGAAATATAAACAATTTTGAATCTATTTCATCGAAACTCGAAAAAAAAGAGGCAGTTTTTAAGACTGGTTTTTGCATTAGTATTATTATTAAAGCATTAATTTCTAAAGAAGATACATTCGCAACGAGTATATTTCTGTATGAAATGTGTACCAAAGCACACTACACTTTTCTCAATAAAGTATCTTATTTTGCTCGAGAAATATTTCTTTTATTTAAATCTATTTAATCTAACTGCAAAAATAGCTTAATACATTTTGTTTGCAAACGCAAGAATACTAATGACTGGAATACATTATCATGCCACTAAATTTAGAATTATAAATGTTTCAAATGTTGATTAGTAAGGGTCAATTCTTAGACTAGTTTATGGTCAAATAGGTTAAGGTTATATTTTAGGTGAAAGATTAAGATATCTAGCGCGAGTTTTGCTTATAAGTAGTCGCTAATTTAAGATGCATTTACTTCTATAACTAATCCCATATAACATTAAAGCTTACATTTCATGCTTCATAACAGAAAATAGACATTTTATTTTAACGACAAAATATATTTTCTGAAGCTAAAAGATCATCTGCAGCAAATAAAAAAATAGGATTACTCATAGAAATGCACACGTTTTGTAAAGCTACTGGACATACAAAGATGAGAAGGGAAAACGGAAGATATTTTCCACCTAAAATTCATGAATCTTCAACTTACTTCACTTCTGAAGACATAGCCTAAAATTCCTCCCACCAACATAGTGATGAAGATCATGAAGAGAATGATAAAGAACTGAAATGAAACAATTTGAAATAGAAATTATGATAAATATGTAATAATCACAGAAGCAATCATGCGCTTCGATGAGCAGTTAAATCATACACATGGTAAAAATCAATGTCATTAGACATACAAGGTTATGCTCTTCACAAAGCTCGAGTTCAGCGATGTCACCGGAGAAGTGGGAGAAATGAAAACACCAGCTACATTTAAGTCCCTAAAGTAAGCAGCTGCTTTACAGCAGACTAAGAGTCTATGACGTCACATCCTCAAAGATTTCAGATCGGGAAGAACAAACTTTGTAGTACAGTAACATTGGTAAAAATGGCATAGGTATGACTTAAATCATACACAAGATAAAGATGTGATGTGTATGATTTAACTGCATGCACCTTTTAAATAGCTGCTTTCTATATAAAGCACGAAGTTAAAAAAATATATATCGCAATTTCAAGATCTAAAACTAAGTCAAAGCATCGGCATATAAATAATGATAGAATTATCACTAAGAACATAACCATCATACCGTTAACAGCATGCATTTGATTTCCTTAATAGCTCCAAGGAAGCCCAGGAAAGAGATGATGGTGACTATGATCCCTGTTGCAATTAAAATAGATGCTGAGCTTACGTAAAGATCGCTGCCCAGCAGCCTTTCCATGAAAGATCGGTCCGATAACGTCCAGATTCCGACGCTGAAAACGACGATGCCTCCAATCTAATACGATGGAAATAAAGAAACATTAATATCAGGTGCAGAAAAAGGTGCAAAAGTTATTTTGTGACCAGTATCATGTTAACATGTTATAATGGTCAGCACCATGAGAGCTATCTGCCTAAAAACAGTAAAGTCCTTCGTGAAGATCTTTCCAAGAGAAACCATTTCATATTCCCGTTTACAAAGAAGGAAAACCAGAGGAATATCCATGCAGCTAGTCTCTTCTCCAGAACTGAAATTGGAGTCAAAGTATTAAGTGCTCAGTGACCCCGGACATATACTTCTAAGACACTTATCTCTTTCTATGATGTGGATCCGTATAGAATGGTGACATATTAGCAAAATTTTATTCATTCGCCCAAATAAAACGGGAAAATTGCTGAGATAGGATATGCGCTCGTTAGCCGAAGTTCGAATGAGAGATGAAGAACTTCTAAAATTCTTCAAATCCCTTTCTTAATCTCAAAATTCCTACATACAAACCATCGAACACGTGCTTCATTATCAAGGAATATCTTAAAGAATAAATTATAAAACGTTTGACTTATTTTTAAGACTCCGACTGACACAGAAAATTCAACATATTGAATGAGGAAGTAGAATGTAATAAAAATTGACAGGCAGACAGAAAATGCAGGTATAATTAAAGTGATTTAAATTCCAAAAAGGTAATGCATTATGGCTATCTATGCAGGGTTATCAGTAAGAAATAGGATGATCTATTGTGGCTGTTTACTAGGCAACCCATCTAAACACAGGTGAAATTAGCACGTGAGTAATGTCCTGAGCGACAAAGAGACAATGTTTTCAACCATCCTCCACAGTTTGTCCTCAGGCTGAGGCAGATAGAGAAAACAACGGCCAATCACGTTCCATAAACACTTGATCGATGCGAGATCTGCAGATCTCAGAGGTAACAGAACATCTAGGTACCTTTTAGGCTTGTATGCTGAATAATGCCACAGTTTTTCATACTGTAGTTTGCATATCACATTAATTGGACAATTCTGAAAGTTTCATTTTGCAGGAAGTAAAAATGCTTGCGTAGTTCCTCAATAGTCAGTATGCAGTCTCACGCGAGCAGCTTAACGAGAATGTACTTATGGACGAAAATTTCATAGATACTACACACGTCTAAAATCCTTATCCACATATGCTTCCGCTACGCGGGACTGGATGTCGAAAGCGACATTTCTAAGAAACTGCATTTCCACGAAACCTGCGTAGCTAGGTTTCCATTTTTCCTTACTATAACAGACTTGAAAGCCAAGCAGTAATCGATTATCACTCAGACTGGCAAAAGAGACTTTTGTTTACAAAGTCTATGCTGCATCGCTCTTACGGAAGCATTTCAGTATTTTCTTTTTCACATTTTAAACTTGTTTCTCATTATGGAAGATTAAATGTAATATGAGCTTCACTATATTTCAGCACTTTTATAAATACTATACTATATCAAAATAGCATATATTCTGAATTTTAAAACTTCCTTCTTGTTTGTTTCAATGCTTAGAGAAAAACTTAAAATGAATACAACAAAAAAAATCTTTTGTTTTAAAGCATTCAGTTAATAATAATGAGTTTTTTTAAAATTAAGATTCTGTTAGTCATTAAAACTCCTAAAGCATTTGTTGATTTTGCAATACTTTTCTAAATCTTTTAACAAGATTCATATATGTCTATTTCACTTGCTATATTGTTACATTATACTCATATTTATGCCATAATGTAACCTAGTAAAAAATAAATAACTGGTTGGTCAATCAATTTTCGAAATCACTTCTCAAATAGTAAATATGACTATGTATATAAAATATATAATTAATGCTAACAGAACGTTAGACTGAACTAGATAATCAGTTTTTGTAATTTTTCTATTGTAATTTGTAGATAAAAATTATCCAAATTATCCATTCCATTTCTTTGAAATAGCTAAATATAGCATCAAGAATAAACACACTAGAAAACTACAATACAATAAATGATTACAATTGATTCACTTGTTTTCATTCGGCAGATTAAAGTTGTAGATGCAAAACATGATTTTCTTACATATTCCATAACACAGTTTAAGAGATCAAATGGTATAAAATTTTAAAATAATGCATACAGAAGAGTCATGACAAGTCATAAAATTAAAAAAAGTATTGAAATGATTGATCAACTTAGTGCAACATGTTATGAGATGAAAAAATCAAAAGAAAAAATTAGTTTATTACCAGACTAAGATAATAAGTAGAATCATACTATATTATCGTTTATTAGGCTTACCATCAAGTCAGAACGAGCTAGATATTTGCACTTTTTTTCATATTCAGCCGTTTGAACTTTGTTAAAGAAACATACACAAGTCTTTTAAGTTATGCCTTTGCTTTTTGAAAAGTCAATGAACCCTGGTAGCTTGTCTCGAGTTCTGTTACAGATTCCAGGGTTAAATGCCTTGACTGCACATAACTTCCTCGGGTTTCTTCATGTACAACTTGAATACAAGTCACTTTCTTTTCAAAAGACTTATAGGTTAGAGAAAGAAATTTGGGTTATAATGTTTTATTAGTCAGTATAGCCCTTTTTCGGAAGCCAGAATTGCAATATTCATTAACATGACAAGTCTTTATGATCATTGAATGTAATTTTAGTCATTTGTCTTGCAAAGCAGTGGTTCTTTTATTTAATGATAATGCAGAGGAAACGTTATCCAACTCTGCCCGTTCAGCCAATCTCAATGATATTATAGGGTCAAAGGATCATGCAAAACATGACAGGTTTTCATGCTTACTTCATGCTCTTCTTCAAACCACTTCGTCACCAGTTTTTTTTTTTTTTTTTTTTTTTTTTTTTTGTATATTAGTCCATTGTCATCTTGACACATGGCATCTTTGTGTTATACATTTAGGAAAAGTATGGACTTGGCCTTTTAGAACTCATTAGCACACTTTGAAAATAATATGATCATAAAAGAACAATCAATGTCCTCAGAAACTTTCATGATTTTGCAACTAAACAGCAATCAATCCAAGCTTCATTGCTTGCTTATGGTTCCAACTTCATGCTTCATTGCTTTTGCGTGAGTAATCCCGATTTTATATTTTTTGGCTACAATTTATAAGGTGTTTTTCTCCCACCTTTCCGCTTACCTTTTAAGTTTAACTGGAAGCATAATCGACGTGTATTCGAGAAGTCCAGGGTTCGAGTCCCGACGAAGCCACTACACATTTTTCATGTTTCCTGCTTCAAAATTACCTAATGACCCTACAGTGGCACCTGAAATAAAAGGGGGTAAACGATAATTCTCCACCACCAGGATTTAGCGATTGGATCCTCCCCTCCCTAGTCGCCGTTTAAAGGAGGGATTACATAAGGTATTTTTCTCCCGCCTTTCCCACATTTCTTTATGATGTAATTGGAAACATACTCGACGCGTATTCTAGAAGTTCAGGGTTCGAGTCCCGGCAAGAACTTTGCACATTTTTCACGTCTCCACGTTAAAAAAACCTAATGATTCTACAAATTCTTTTTAACATTGTAACATTCTTTTCAGACTACTTCCTTTTACTTGTCCTTTACTCCGAGGGGATACATTTCTTCACTTTACTAAGGCGGTATGACCACTGGATGACATAGGTATGACCATTGGATACTGCAACTGTCGATACATAAAAAAGATCTATCTTTGTCACAAATACGCCAGTCAGATGGAGCACCAACCAGTATATCTTCTTTCGAACTTCGATATATTTCTCATTTGTGTCCCATTACTCGGAATGTTTGAAATCAGCACCTCTAAAATGGCTTAAAATTTGATAATCTGCTCTGGTTCAAAATCATCGGAACTCGAAAATCTCGTTTTATGTACTGACAATGTTTCAATTTCCTAGATAGAAAATCATCTGTTCTTAATTAACGACCGCTTTGCAGCAATAAATGATTAGTACACACATTTAAGGTAACTGATTGAGGCAAGTACCTAAACCAGTCACTCACAAAATTAACCGGTTTCTTTTTTTGTTCTTCTACGGAATAGTTCGCAAAGCATATGAAATGCTAAGACAGAACTCTACATTTATTGAATTCATGTAAGATAACTCATTACATTAATTACTTTACTTTTCTCATTGTCGATTACAAATGCTATGCCCCTCAGAATAATTTCACTTATAAGAAAAAAAAAAAAAATATTACCAGTATAACAGTATTGGCAACAAACAGGCCATATTTCACCCCCTTGGCACATCCTTCGACCATCATGGAGACCTGTAAAAGAAATTCAAAAAACATCAGAAACATGCATATACATCTAAATGAATAATATTATGAAAAAATTAAAAATTTAAAGAGAAATACTTTTAGCTGATGTGCTTAGTATATTTCACTGCCATGAGCAGAACTAGATCTATGCGGAGCGAGTCGCAGTTTCAAAGGACTCCCAAATATTTTTCACATAGAAAATGTAGTCTGTGTCTTAAGATGGGAGACTCCAAAAGTTCAGGTGAGATGCCTCCAGCCCCTCGTCTTCATACATCCACTAGTGGACATAAGTATCACACCTTTGATCATTTACCACTGGGCTATGAAGATCCCGGACACACTGTTTTTTCAAGCCTTTCTCGGTTTTATGAGGGAAAACAAGACTATGAAGAATTAGAGTGATATGTGGGTCTTAGGACTTGAAGGCTTAAATGGTGATTAAGGCTGTGATTACCTCCTTGGACCTCAAAGACATATTTTAGTAGTTTCGCTAAGCGATGCCCAGTGGATAAAACCCCTACGTGTGGTATGTCTGTGGCATACTCGAATCCCGAGTGCCTGATTTTACTTTATAATTTTGTATATTGGGCTTGTGTGGATATCCGCAAGAAATGTGGATTAAAAGCGAAACATAAGTATTAGTATACACACGATCAGAGTATGAAAAGAATCTTTACAAACAAATAAGATACTTTTCTTTTTAAACTTGATGTCTCGGCGTTTCTTGAGACATCACAGAAGATACCCATGACATATACAATGAAACTTCACTAACACGAAGATAGATAGTTCTAGACGATTCTGAGGTTCCGACTATCAGTGTTACATTCCAAGAAATATTAATCACTTTCAGAGGTGGTCGTCTAGATAACTGTGAAAAGTTTCATTGTAATTATATAATCTAAATACCATGAAAATCACAAGTAAACTCAATTTTTTCCTTACCTATTTGTAAACATGTTTTATATTATTTAGATACTATGAAAATAGATACCAAAATAGATGCCAATAGATAAATCGAGATACCATAGATAAATTTAGATACCATGAAAATTTCTAATTTCAATTTTTTACTTATCTATTTGTAACCATGTTTTAAGTCAGTTAACCATAATTTTTCACTGTTTGCGCCATACTTTGTCAGCCATTCAGTTAGACTGATTTTTACTCTGGTATCTAGGTAATCGCTTTCATTATACACGATTAGTATCCAACGTGTTAACTCTCTCACAGCGGGTACAAAATTAGTAAAGCGTTAAAAAAATAAATTCCAACATTTTTCTTCGTGTGAACTAATTTGCAGTGGAAATGTAGGTTTCTGCTGACTCTATAAGAACGTTTCCCGGGTATATTTATTTTAAAAGGAAGAACGCGTTATTCACTGATCCAGGGTTCGGAAGTTATGGTTTCTTGCTTAAACACTAGCCAAGCAAAACTATTTACATAGTTTGAAAATCTTATTTCTGTGGCTAAAATGAGACCATTCTTACTTTAGCACACTGTTTAACATTTCAGACACTCTCTTTAAAGTTCGCGAATTCGGTTATGCAGCAAAACCTATCGTTGTGTTTTCTTTCCAAAGACAGCCATCTCCAAAAATGAGCAGTATTTCCGAAACCTTTATAAAATAATTCTAAATTTCACTAATTGTTATGTTCTCTGAGGTGACTACAACCACTGAAGATAACTATTTGGAAAAGTAGGTGTCTTCTTAGCGAGGTGTCATTGGATTTGCTTTTTTTATGAAAAGAAAACAGCTGGCATAAACTTAACTTTAATGAATCAACACAGAAGTATAACCACAGCATATCCAATGAAACTTCCGTAAAAAAACCAGCTCGGACAATTTTATTTTCTTGGAGATATTAATTTCAAACCTATTATTTACGTTTTTAGAATTACTGGTCACTATTACAGGTGGTAGCCATGACAAATTTACTGTATTAATATTTCAGTTTATGCTTGGTAGCTCAAAATTCCACTAATGCTCAAATAAACTAAGTTTTATTTTTATATATCTACGATAAAACTGCCTTTTTGTTATTGCTACATCAAACAGACCAACTATTCGCAGATGATTAAATTCACGAAATACTGGCAGTTACCCCAGATTCCATCTCAGGTATCGAACGTGCTGGCTGCATGAGTTTCTATTCACGAGCAATTCAATTTAGGGTATCTGAATATGGCAAAGAACGACGGTTACCTACCTAAGAGGAGGGATGACTTCGATGAGTAACTTTTGTAACACGGGTAAGTCAAGTATGGCCGAGGTCCATCACAGATGTTCTCATAGGCGGGTAGTTCTCGTACGCTTTGTCGTAATTAAATATCCTAATTCAATCCCTTCAGGAAATAATCTTTCGAACTGAATCAATATGCTTTAAAATGGCAACTTTAGTACACGGCAATAAATGATTTCTAATTACGGCAAAATAAGACGACCATTTTTCCATTCAAAATTATTGCTGTTCATTATAATAATTTTATGTTGTTTCAGTTGTTTCTTGTAAAACTATGTAGCTGAAATTTGTGCTTTAATTTATTTCTGCAGTGTACCAAGATTTACTTTTACACTGGAGTAAAAGGCAGCTGTAGGTTTGGTTTATAAAGCAACCTCAAATTCAGTTTTGTTTTCTCCAAAAACTCTACAATGAAATTTGCTAATTAAATCCTAAAATACTGCTAGCATTCATTTTAAATTTTTGTCATCAAATCAACTACGTATCGGCTATTATTATAAATTCAAGTATAAAGAATGTGAAAATATTTTGGAACAACATAATACATTGCCTACTGAGATCTTCATTTGGAGATTTTCCACTCGTTCCAACTGATGAGGTTTATTGCAATACGAAATACTTGAATCTAATGTCGCTTTGGTGCTTACAATGAATTGATTTTAGTATATTATAAATGTAATTAACTGTTAAGTCATTGTATACCTTTGCTATTCCTTACGGCTTATGATAGGAATGATGAATTAGTAATCTTAGAAAGTATTTCTCCCACTTCCCTAGCGTGCCTTTGTGCTGTAACGGTAGCACGCTGGGCCGGTATTCCAGAGGTCCGTGGTTCGATTCCCGGCGAAGGCCGTTGCTAATTTTTCATCTTTTCGGCTTCCAACAAAAAACCTAATGACTTTACAAGTGGCGCCCGAACTAAAAGGGTTATGGATGATGATTCTCCGCACCCAGGATTCGGCGACTAGGTCCCCTAAAACCCTAGTCGCCCTTTAAAAAGGGGAGTATATAAGGTATTTCTCCAACTTCTCAAGCGTGCCTTCGTGGTGCAGTGGTTCTGCATACTGGGCCGGTATTCCAGAGGTCCGTGGTTCGATTTCCGGCGAAGGCGGTTGTTAATTTTTTCATCTCTCTTGCTTTAAATATCCTAATGTCTCTACAGTGGCGCCCGAACTAAAAGGGTGTTGGATGAGGTTTCTCCACACCCAGGATTTGGCAATTGGGTCCCCTAAAAGCCCCAGTCGCCCTTTAAAAGGGGGAGTATATAACGTATTTCTCCCACCTTCCTAGCGTGCCTTCGTGGTGTAGTGGTTCTGCACACTGAGCCGGTATTGCAGAGGTCCGTGGTTCGATTCCCGGCGAAGTCGTTGCTAATTTTTCATCTTACTTGCTTCCAAAAAAATCCTAATGTCTCTACAATCTCAGGGTTCAAAAACAGAGTTTTCATAATCCTATTATTCTTTCTTTATTGTATGGAATTATCTACAACATATACAGTCCTTAAACTATACTCGAAGATGAAAACATTTACATAAACAATTTTGTGTGCCAAAATAATATGCCTACGGCATTCAAATTCTGTCGCAGCCTTCCTTGCTGCTGTCAAAAGACGTTCTGGGCAAGCAAGAAGGGTTGCAATAACATTTTGGCTCCCTTGAAGCGTCGTCATAAATTTCAAACACTCTACAGAGAAATACTGAAAATCCGCCTTCTGCAAAACATTTTAGGAATTAGTGGTCGAAAATGCACTGCTGGACTCCATGTAAAATACTCTGCACAAAATAGCTTGTGGGACAATTTTTTTTAATTTTTTTTTTTAATTTGGCCGTTGTTAACAAAATAATAAAAGACAAATTAATTTTAATCATTTAAAGAACACCGTTCGAAAACAGTGCTTATCAACCACAGCAATTTTTAAACTTTCATTTAAAAAAAAAGTGTAACAGACGTAGAACTTACCTAAATGTACTCAAAAACACGATACCATTTATTACCATACCAGGGCACTAAATTACAACCAGAAAAATATAAACTTAATTTTTCTCAGCTTGGGTACGAAATTTTGAGACCGAAAAAAAAAAAAAAAAAAAAAAGTTACAGAATACATCACTTGCGAAAACTACGTAAACGTTACATAGATTCCACAAACAGTAAAACAAACAAAAGTTATACTTATATATACAAAACCGAAATAAATCAAAAATGGACTTCGTGGTAAATGTATGGATTATAGTTCAAAAGAGAGGCAGGGTCGAAATGCGGAGGTCGCGTGTATGATCCATATTTGCTGCAAAATTACAATGTAGCTCACAAATTGACCATTTTAATTACATTCTAGTACTATAATAACCTTTATGTGTTAAATCATGGCGTCACGAAATTAAGCTAGTGGTTTTAAATTTACTTTCTTCAGTAAGGATAATTTTCTTTCATCTTAAATTTCTACACTATAATTATGTTTTTAGATATATTTATATAAAATGAAACCTCCTTTAGGCGAACTTCCATGGTTCTAGAAAGATTAATTCTTAAAAACAAGACCAAGAAAGAAGCATCGTAGAACCATAAAAGCAATAAAAAAATTTTTTAAAAAAGGGGGGGGACAACATAACAGACGTTATTAATGAGCTTAAGACAATCTATTATTATATTTTGGAAACTTTATTTTATGGCACGCGATAAATCAGGTCAAACGGAGGCCCATCTAAAGGGGCACATAAAGATTCGAAAATCAGAATGACCCTCAAATGTCCGCACTGTTTG